ACTAAAAGAACAATTGGTCTTGGTGGTGTTGTGGTTGTTGGGTGGGGTGGGGGGGGGGCAAAAGATGTTAAAGGGGTTGAAATTCACAAACGTTTAAGAGCCCAATATGAGAACAGAGTGTGTTTCAGTGGACAGACCTGTTTGCATGAGGCATGACAAGAGAAACCAATTGAGCATGCTTGTAGTACCACACCACAGCAGTAAGTGAATACAAACACACAGGAACAAGCCAGAGCCATGATCCTCAAGGATGGACGAATATCAGTACAGGACAGTGCATCAGCACCAGACATCAGTAAGAGTTCAGCTCATTTATCAGTGCAAAATATTCTTGGTTTCCACAAAGTCTGTGCAGGGTGGGTTCTGAGGGAATAGACAAAAGAGCACATGGGCATGAGTTCTTGTCTGCTGGAGTGGTACCATGATGAAGGCAACAATTCTTTTTTTATCACATCACTGATAATGATACTTCCATATACCATCAAGAACCACAAATCACACATGCGCACATACTTGTCCTCTCCTACTGCCAAATAATTCCTGACTCAGCCATCAGCTGGGAAGTTACTACTGACAATGTTCTGGACCTCTCAAAGTCCTATCCAACATTACCGGGAATGTGGCATTACACTGACAGACGCAACATATTCTGACATTTTACGAAGTCAATTGAGGCCAGCCATCCACCCCAAATAGACAAGGCAGATTACTCCAATGTGCTGTTTTCATGATACTGCTCCTAATCATTCTGTTTCCCAAACTAGGAAAATCCTTCAGGAGCTGAGATTTGAACTGACCATCCAGCATATAGTCCAGACCTTAAATCTTCAGATTTCTTTCCATTTGGTACTCTAAGGGGACTCACAGAGGTCATCAATTTGTAGATGATGAGGAAGCATTGCATGACTCACTTTACACTTGGTCCAAAGAGTTCTATTTTTCTAACAGCATCAGAAAGCTTGTGGACTGTTGTACAAATGTTCTAAGAAGCATGGAGACTACATGTATACACAAGTAAAAAATTAGGTCGAAACATTTTATAATAATTTTCATACACTGCTGGTATATCCCTCTTCCTCTCTTCTGCAAAGTCTTTGCCTCAGTTCAAGCACAAATGACCTGGTACTAGAAATGAATGTTCCATTTATACAAAAACAGCATTAACAAGTCAGTCATTTTAGCAGAGACATATTGCTTTCCTATTAGGCATGAACTGAATTTCTATACAATGTTCAGAAGAAATTCAGTCTCGAAAGCGTTACTTTTTATTCACCACATCAACCAGATTATATTATAAATTTATTAACATAATGTGGAATTTTCTGTTTAGTCTTTCAGTGAACATACCTTCTGGACCACTTCCACTAACATCCTGTGACCACATCATGCATCCATCTTCATCAGCGTCGTAGACTGCCAAATTAGAATGTTCACAACTGTTAGGAACACTGCAAATTCCCATTTTATACATTAGCATACAAATGAGAAAGTACTGTGTTGTCAAAAAAATAAACTTCAAAATTTTGTTGAATTCATACATATTGCCTGCTGAGCAACACGGATTTAGTTAACATCTATCTACAGATACTGCTATTCTTAGTTTACTTAATAATATTATGCAGGCACTTAATAACAGAAAACTGGTCGGTGGTATTTTCTGCGACTTAACAAAGGCCTTTGATAGTGTGAACCATGATATTTTGCTTGAGAAAATGGATTTCTATGGTATAAGAGGTACATTTCATAAATTGCTTACCTCATATTTAAGTGATAGATATCAACGAGTAGTAATTAAGGATAAACAAGCTATACAATATTTTTCTGAGTGGAAACAGATCAGATTGGGAGTACCACAAGGATCAATTCTTGGGCCATTATTTTTTTTATTATATATAAATGATTTGCCAGCAGCAATAAATAATATGTCAAAACCCATCCTATTTGCAGATGACATTAGTTTAATAGTATCTACTTCAGATCCTAATCAGCTTAAAGAATGTTTTAATTTAGTTGTTGAGAAATTGATGAGATGGTTTCAGGCAAATTCCTTGATATTAAATTTTAATAAAACATATTGTATGTATTTTACAATGATAAGGAAACATACTGTAAACTCCTCTATAAAGCATTTACATTCTCACATTAATAGTACACAAGTTATGGACTTTCTGGGGGTGTCTTTGGATCCGTCCTTATCTTGGCAAGGAGATATATCTAAAACAATAAATAAATTAAATTCTGCTTGCTTTGCCATTAGGTCTCTGAAATCGTTACTATCTATTAATGATCTAAAAATGATGTATTTTGTCTATGCTCACTCTATAATTGTATATGGAATTGCCTTTTGGGGAAATGCCACTAATAGCAAGGATGTCTTCATAGTGCAAAAAAGAATTATAAGGAGTATTATGAATGTAAATTCTAGAGCCTCTTGCCGGGGATTTTTTAAATATTTAAACATATTGCCTTTTTATTCTCAATATATACTTTCGCTTTTGCTTCTGGTGGTGAAAAATATGCATTTGTTTGCACTAAATGCTGAAATACATGTCATAAATACACGACAAAGTACCAGCTTACACGTGCCATTGATAAATTTGGCCAAATATAAGAATAGTGTGTGTTGTATGGGTATTAAAATATTTAATAATCTGCCACATAATTTAAGAAAATTATCAAGTGATTTTAAAAAAATTAAGTTAGCTATAAATCATTTTCTCTTAAATCAATCATTTTATTCGATAAATGAATACTTGGAGTGGTCAAAAGAAAGGAAATAGAATACAGGCGAATATTTGTTTTATTTACATACACTTATGTGTAGTAGTTCTTGCAGACTTTGTATTAATGTACGTATACTTTTATTATCAATTGCTTATAATGTCCATATTTTAGTTATTATTGGTTTATTATACTAAGCATTGACTAAGTTGTATTATTGCAACTGTTTTATTACAGTATATGTTACTATCTGGGACTGCTTTTACAACTGTGGTGATTGTGTCACCTGTACGTTTTTCTTGAAGCAATAAAGATATTATTATTATTGACCCACCTCAATATAAAACTGGTCTTCAGTATGCCATCCGTGTGGCTGCAAGCTTCACTGACACAATTATCTTAATTATACACTGTAACAAGAACTGGAGAAGGTAACAACAGAATACTTGACTGGTGGAGGTTGCATCACGGTGAAGGGTATTCACTTCGTTTATTTCAATTTTGGATCCACTGGTAAAGGGGACTACAGAAAGTTCTGACAAAATACTGTCATCGGCTATAACTTCAATACCAAAGAAAATTTTAGACATGCCAGAAAAACTATAAGGCAACAGAAAAATATGTTTGAATAATTGTGTGTGGGTGTGTATGTGTGTATCGAGGAGGATGAGGTGGGCAGGTCATGTAGCACACAAATTGAAGAGACGAGGAATGCGTACAGGATATTGGTGGGAAAGCCAGAAGGAAAGAGGGCACAGGGAAGACCAAGGTGTCAGTGGGTGGACAATACTAGACTGGATCTTAGAGAGATAGAATGGGATGGTATGGATTGGATAGATCTCGCTCAGGATAGGGACCGGTGGAAGGCTCTTGTGAACACGGTAATGAATCTTCAGGTTCGATAAAAAATGCTGGGAAATTCTTGAGTAGCTGTTGAACTGGCGGCTCCTCCAGAAGGGCTTAGCTCCATAAGTAAAGTCTTAACAAACATATTCTCTTACAAATCACATTACTGATAGTGTATTCTGCTTTTCAGACATTTTTAATTACAATAAAAACATTAGAATTTGTGACATATTCTGAGTAACTCCTACATTGTGATGTACTGTTCCATAACTAATGAATGATGACGATGACAATGATATTTGTTTGATGACAACTGGACTGTGGGGACAATCATTTTGAAGATCAGCTCTCATTATTCTCGTTATCCACTCCTTTCATCACAGAACACAATTCATTGTACAGAGTGCCCTCGTCCTTACCTGTAGCCACTAGAGCACTGTGACATGCTGCAATGATTGATATGCCTTGGTTCCCAATCACAAGCATTTATATATTCAGGGCTTAAGGGTAATGAGGTTTCTTTTGCTGCAAAAGTTGGTGGCTGCTGCTGGTGATGGATGCACTGCCAACATTTTAAAGGAAGTGGAAGGACAATGTGCATGGATAGGAATATGTGTTACAGGGCATGTCACCAGTGTCTTGTCTAGGAGGTGGGAAATACAACATGAGTATAGTCTTTGTGATTTACAGCTGTCGGCAAGAGATTCAAGGAAGGGACAGGAGGCTGTGAGAATGATTGCAAAGCAGAAATCTGAGCCACATGGAAGCGCAACTCTGTTCAGATGTAATCTTTCTGCTGTAGTGAACTTACTTTCCAAGAAATGTCTCCTGCACAAATATTTCTTTTGCGGTAGTCTAGCAGAGTCAAAGTTGCTGGATATTACAACTTTTCATGCCCATACCCCTTCCCTCTAGAAGTATAATAAATTGTTTCAAAAGCTCGAAATAATTCATCAGAAAACATGACAAACATGTTGCACGTGCTAAATTTGGGGGTTATATTGAATAAAATGACCGCAAACATAAACTAAATTTCTTCCTTGGATTTAACTACACCTAGAAATGCCATTGCACCATGAATTAAAAGAGACATACCGTGCTGAACCTTGTACAAGCCTTGCCCCGCATATAGAGACACTAGTTATTAATGGAAAACCTACCTTACAGCTTAATTGTATTTCAATTCCAGTAAAAATAACCTAAGAGATAGTTTCATAGTTCGTATTCAGACCGTTAGATGGTGGTATACATTCTACTGCTGCTACTGCTATTGGTGTTGGAAGACAGAACAATTTATTAGACAATCGCGATGGTTTTTATTTTTTGTCCGCGATATTGCGACATACGATTTTTGATAGCTTCAAGATAATAATCGTTTTCGAGTGTCATATATATAAATTCACAAGTTTCCTTGCCTTATGTATACGTGTTTCGTTTCTATGGTTACGTTTACATTTTCGTCGCCATCTTTTGTCCCTCAAAGAAAAATAATTAATATGTGAACTCAATTGCTGTCCGTAAAAACAAGTGGGGTAAAAGCAAAGAAATAAGATATCGGAACAACTAATCGCATTATTTCCTTTGATACG